GCAGGAATCCGAAATCATGCCACATGTGTGTCCTCACCAACTGCAAGCCCACTGCCTTCCAATCAGACTTCAAGAATGAGAGGGTGTCACCCATCAACCTACAGCAAGTCAGGCAGTTTCCACTTCGATTTGGAAAAATCTGCCTTTATGGGCCGAATCCTCATCTTTCTAACTATTTTTAATTCTGTTCCTTCTGTTCATGTGAAACTCTCCTTAAGCTGCCACTAATTATGTGCTTTCCAAAAAGCCCTTTCTATACTGAAATGGCCTGTACTGATACAGAAATAATAATTCCTGCTTACTCATATAGCTATTGAATGGTCCTAAACCAGACTCGTAAAATGTAGAGCAAGTGGCGTTGGGATATATTTAATCCCGTGATTTTAAGTCCTTAGGGTGAGAGGAAGGCTGAGCTGGCAAGACAGCAGACTGCCAAAGTCAAAATAGCTCCCCTTTGATTGTTTCACCGAATATTTGGGATCCTGATGTCAAAAGCAAATTTTTTTAACCACTGATTAAGTCTAACTCAGATTTTTTTTTTCTTCCAGGCTGAAAATAGGAATTAGAAAAAATGTTTTGTGGGGCCAGCAGTTAGCATAATGGCTATGTCACTGAACTCCCCTGTAGCCGACCGTGGTTCGAATCCCAGACCCAGTGTCTTAAATTCATGCCGGGTGCGTGTGCGTGCGTACCCAAGATCCCAAGAGGAAAATGGAGGAGAAGAGATTGCAGCGTGGCCATCCCCCCTGGGGGGTGATTTCTCTATTTCTATCTCTGTTTCTCTCTGTCTCTTTGGCGAGCACACACACTATATAGCAAAAACCTCTCCAAAAAAAAAAAATTTTTTTTTTGAGCATCTGTTATGTATTGAGCATTTTCTAAAGTCTCCCAACTGAATTTTTTTCTTTATTCGTAATAGAGCTAGTACATGCATACATGAGAGAAAATGAAAGGTAAGCATTCTCCACAGGGTCTGATTATGCCATGGTCACCTTCAGTCACCCCATGTGAATCTTGCTTAAGATTCATGTATGTATCCAGTATGTTTCAGGCTGACCAGACTAGGGATTCAAACCATGGTCACCATGTGGAATCCAGCTCGTCTTGAGCAGCACATTACCACTGTACCACAGAGCCAGCCCATTTTGCTCAACTCTTCCTATCCAGTTAAGGAAATTAATTTTTCCCTCTAAGGGCTATCTAGCTGCTGTGTTTCATACCCAGACATCTTGCAGCTGCATTCAGGGCCTCATCCCAGCAGGTAGTTTTCATTGGCAAAGTACAGGCTCACTCACTGTGGGCCACCCGGGAAGCAGGTGACCTGATCTCTAGACCTTGTTCTGAGGCTCATCATGTGCCATCAGGCAAATCACTTAACATCACACCATCTCAGCTCCAATGTAAAGTGAGGAAAGTGCCCCCACTTCTGCTCACATGGATAATGTAAGCTTAAACAGTATACTATACACATACAAACAGCTTCATGTCATCCTTGTTCATATATGTCAATATACTTACTGTCATCTGTTATATTAAGGATGATAGTTTTTATTTCAGAGGGCCCTTATTTTAATAAGCAAATTGCTGGTTTCGTTGGGTTTGTTTTTTCTGCATATGTCTGTCCAGTCGATGAATCAGTTATTGACCAGCGAGTGTAGACCTCTGCTGGTCTTTTGTTCTCTTGCTGTTATAATTAATTAAGCACCTTTGAGTGTGCATGAGTAATTGAACTAATTTTGTCCAGTGCATAAGAACTTGTACTTGACTGTGCTGAACTTCTCCTGCTGGGATGTATGTGGAGTTGTCTAGAAAATAATTATAAAGCGTTTTACCAGTTTAATATGCCATTCATAATTGTGCCAAATGCCTCCTAGGAATGTCCTCCCCCCAGCCCCGATTTTTCTTTTCTGAGTTTCCTCAAAACTGGAGCTGGAGGAGTTCCCACTGGACCAGAAGGTATTGCTGATCCATGGGAACCATGCAGAGCAGGCCTGCCAGTTCCTTTTCATTCTCTGAGCAGCCAGCTCTATACCTTTCCCACTTAAAGCTCATCCAGACCACTGGTGCCATTAGCCAACCATTTCCTGGTACTGACCTGCAAAGATAAGGCTCCCCAGACACCCACAGGATTGGCTAAAAGCTCTGGAAGGCAGCGTGCTCCCTTCATGAGGACCATGGTGCACTGAGTTGCTGCCAGCCACCCTGCAGTCTCTTCTCTGCAGGAGCCCAAAGCGCATAACCTAGAGTCTAGAAAAGACCAGTGCAGTGTCTGTCCACTGTGGGGTTTTTTTGGAGAGGTTTTTGCTATAGGGCATGTGTGCTCACCAGACAGAGAGAGACAGAGACAGAAAGCAAGAAATCACCCCCCCAAGGGGGATGGCCACGCTGCAATCCCGTCTCCATTCTCCTCTCGGGATCTTGGGCACACACACATGCACCTGGCGTGAGTTTAAGCCACCGGGTCTGGGACTCGACTGCAGTTGACTACGTGGGAGTCCAGCGACATAGCCATTGCACTAACTGCTGGTCCCCACTGTGTTGTTTTCTTTTTTTTTCTTTTTCTTGGAGAGGTTTTTGCTATAGGGCATGTTCACTCACCAGGCAGACAGAGACAGACAGAGAGACAGAAAGCGAGAAATCACCCCCCCCCAGGGGGATGGCCACGCTGCAATCCCTTCTCCTCCATTCTCCTCTCAGGATCTTGGGCACACATGCACACGCACCTGGCATGAGTTTTAAGCCACCGGGTCCAGGACTCGAACCACAGTTGACTACGTGGGAGTCCAGCGGCATAACCATTACGTTAACTGCCTGTCTCCCCCACTGTGTTTTTAACAGAACAGGGGTCACCCAAAAAATGCTGTTTTATAAAAGGATTAGTTAGATTTTAATCCCTGGAAGTTCTTCCCTACCCCCAAACGTCTTTTTTGGGGAGCACAACGTAAGAGTAGTAAATACTGCTCCTGTGCAGCTATGGCCTGTGGTTCTTCAGTAAGTGTCCGCTGTGTTGGAAGCAGTTCATGTTGGAGTTCACAGATAAGAGGGCAGCATTCAGCAGTAATGACTGTCCCCTCACAGTCACCAGTAGTGACTTCACCAGAGAGCAGTGCCCTGTTTTGAACTTCCCATGGAAGGGGCTATGGAGAATACACAGAAGGCATGAGGCAGCAGCATCAAGAGAACAACCCAGCCCCTGGGTGGTGGCCCCTGTACTGTGGTCTCCTCTCTATCTCTGACCTCATTCTTCTTCTCTGAGCCTCGGTTTTATCTCAAGGAACCTGAGATGGTTCGGCTTATTGATCTCTGTGACCCTGCCAGCTCTGAAAGTGGAGTCTTGTGTGAAAATCTCCGAGATCATTCAGAAATCCAGAAAGAGAGTCTATAGGAAAAAATCTAAAGGATACATAATATATTTAATATTTGGCTTGCAGAATAGAAGCTACTTAAAAGCTATTGAAAAGAAATATCTCTAAATAACTCGCACTTTCAAGTTTTCAGAAAGGATTGAGAAAGAACAAACAGCTTAATATAAGGATGAGGAACTTAGGTGGGACAAGGGAAAAAAGAAGTACATTTCTTCCCATGAGAGTCAGAATTGCAACTGTGGGCCTCCTCTTCAGAGATCTTTAAAGCAGGTTAATATCTCCTCTGTCTGAGACAAATAAAGTTAAAGAGAGAGGAAAGAGCCCTGGACCAGAAGTCCTAAGATCAGTTCTGCTTCACAATGCTGTTGGGAAAGTTGCTTTTTGGAGGTGAGAAACAAGGAAGGGCTGCAGATGGGAGTTGTAAGGTCTTGGCCAACCCCAAGACCTTCTCTTTAAAGGAGAGTCACAGAAAGCAGGGAGACACTGTTTGTCCCATTGGTATGGAAACTCTTGTTGTTACTACCCAGATGTTATTTCCAAAGCCCACCCCAGCTCCTTTCCCCTTAATGTTTTTCATAAAAGGTTCAGCCCTGTAGCACAGTGATTAAGCACTTGCATTGGGAACCAGATCCCACATGCCTGACCATGGTTCAAATTCCAGCCCCAACAGCTTAAAAATGCCCTGGGTAGGGCCAGCAGGTGGCATGGTTGGTTAAGGCACTGGACTCCCACATGGTCAATGGAGGTTGGAGTCTCAGAACCAGTGGCTTGAAAATCATGCCAGGTGTATGTGCGTGCATACCCAAAACCCTAAGAGGAGAAGGGATTGTAGTGTTGCTATCTCTCCTGCGAAGGTGATTTCTTACTTTTCCTATCTCTGTCTGTCTCTCTCCTGCATGTACATGCATGCTATGGAAAAAAAAATCTTAAAAAAGAAAACACATTGAGTGTATGTGATGGAGAAATGGAGGAAAAGCGATGTGACCATTCCCCACTGGGGAGTGCACTATGCCTTGTTCCCTCTCTCTCTCTCTCTCACTCACTCTCTCACTAGTCAGTGCACTTGCCTTCTGACAGAAAAAATGGAAATTTTTTTAAAGGTTTTCACATGGCGCATGTGCACTCACCAGAGAGGGAGACATGCAAAAGAGTGAAAAGCACCCTTGACATGGTTTATTACACTGCAGTCTCCTTCTCCATTCCCCAGCCCCTCAACAGTTTTAAAAACGCCCTGGGTAGGGCCAGCCCATGGTATGGTTGGTTAAGGCACTGGACTCCTACATGGTCGATGGAGGTTGGACTCCCCGAACCAGTGGCTTGATCCTGGGTGCACACATATGTGCCTGGTGTGTTTTCAAGCTGACTCAGGGATCCCAAGTCATGGTTGGCCAAATGGTTTCTAGCCTTACAGGGCATCTGCAATACTGCTGTGACTGGGCCAGAATGTTTAAAAATATAACCACAGTACTGTGACACCTAAAAAACGTAACAATATTTCTTGCATATCATCAGATATCCAGTTAGTGTTCACATTTTCAGTTGTCTCATAAGATGCGATAATTTTTTTCACATTTTTTGCTAGACTATAGATACAATAAGTAGGCCTACACATTGCAGTCAGTTGAAGTCTCGTAGTCTTTATCATCTCTTCTTTTTTCCCTTGAAATGTATTTGTCGAGGAAACGGAATTGTCTGTTGTATAGAATTTCCCAGATGTGGGTTGGCTGACCGCCTCCCCTAGTGCAGTCCAACATGTTCCTCCCTCCTCGGTATTCTTCTGTAAATTAGTGGTTGGCCCTAGAAGTGTGATCAGCTTGGGGCCAGTTGTTCTTGTTTGTTTTGGTTTGGGGCAGGCCTCACAGCCACTTACTTTCTCTTTGAAAGCTGCACCAAAGCCAGCTGGAGCTCCAGGAGGTGCGGCTCTCCTACCGACAGCTGCAGGTGAAGGTGGAGGAACTCACCGAGGAGAGGAGCCTGCAGAGCTCTGCTGCCACCAGCACATCCCTTCTGTCTGAGATCGAGCAGAGCATGGAGGCAGAGGAGCTGGAGCAAGAGAGAGAGCAGGTGCTGACTTCCTGTCACCTTGGCATGCAGGTGGCCTGTCGTCCTCTCCAGCACCCTGCTGCCAGCCTGGCAGGAGCTGTGGCTTCCCCTGTGCCAGCCCCTAGGTCTGCTGATGGGAGTGTCAGGCAGCAGGTCTGACAAAAGCATATCCCTGGCCCTCTGTTTTCCATTTTCTGTTGAGGCATTGAGCAGAATTTCTATAGGACAGTGTCATGGCAGGCCCAAATCCAGCTCAGTGTCACCTAGGGCCTGTTAAAATTCTTGTTGACTAATGAGTCACCTCATACCTCTTTCATCACCAGAGTTTTAGAAAATTCATGATCCATCCTGTCTGTCAAAGTGGCTTCTTTTCATGCTTTTCATAGTGTCCATAATTGTGCATTTCCCTCATCAGTGCTAGCCCAAGTCTCTAATTATGTAAAGAGCTCCTTTATGTGACAAAGGGAAGGGGCTAGAGAACAGGGAATTTGGAATTGGGGCATCTGAGTAGATGTACTAGGCTCAAAATAAACACCATCATTTTTTGGAACAGGTAATTTAAAAGAAAAAAAAAAAACTGTTTCCTGAATTGGTGTCTTGCATGTCAGTATTTTGGGTTTAGATGCTAGAAAAAGATGACCAGTAGCCAGGCGGCGTGGGGCA